ACATCAGCATGGCAAAGGGCACCCCTTTAAAGGCAAGGAAGGGCAAAAATATTTTAAGTCAAGTGATAGTGATTGCTGTATGAGTGGTATGATTTTTGAATCAAGCATGGGCAACGCCAGGCCATGCTGCTAGTATATATATATATATATATATATATATATATATATATAATGTAACACCTTGTGATTCTTGTTTTGTGTCTCCTGAAGCATGTGTCTTGGCATCTGTCAACATTGTCTTCTATGGTTGCGTTACATCCAATGAACAAATGATGCCTGTATGCCAAAGAGACATCATGTGCAGTGAGCTGGCCACAGGACATCATCTGGTAGGCCCCACCCTGTGCACTATGTTTCAGTGACCTCTGTAGGAATGACCTGAAACTCACAGGTATCAACTATGGGAACAGCTGTCAGACGATCACAGTGGCTGGCATCATGCAAGTGTAATATTGGTTGTTATTCCAGTGTATGCATGATAAGGTATGAGTAATCTCTGCTCGTAGCTTGTCACTACACTGGAAGCTGAAATCTTTGTGTGTAGCTTTTTGACTTGATCAAGATGCAATTGAATTTTATTTATTTTTAATTTTCTTGCTTTCATTTCTTTAATCTTATGATTTATTTGTTGCCATTAACAGATATTCAGTGGCTTCTGAAATGATAATTTTTTTAGCTTCAGAAAATATTAGCTTCATTAAAATGGCAACAGTAAGAATTTTGATAAAATGCTTGGTCAGAATGATTAAAAATGGCTGAAACCAAATTGGTTGATATTGATCCTGAGAGGATGAAGAGGAGGCTTTCTCTTCTTCCTCCTTTGTTGAATTTTCTGCCTCCAAGTAGACAAACCAGACCTTGTGTATATGTGGTCTACAGGCAACTTTTGCCTGAGCCTATGGGCTTGGAACACCCCATGTTACAAACTGGCCTTGTGCTATATCTTGCCTTGTGGGTTGATTGGTAAATAAAGAAATTTAGATTTTCCAGAAACTTTTTTTTTGTATGCTTCTGTTTTTACTGCAAAACTTATTTATGTAAGATTACAATAAAATACCATTATTTGTAAATAGTCATGGAATTTATTTTAATATTTATCTTTGATATTCTTATTCATAAGAATTATTTCTTAATAAAATTTAATTCTTTTAGGAGGATGAGGAGGAGGCTTTCTATTTCCCTTCCTCTTTTGTTGAACTCTCTGCCTCCAGGTGGAGAGAAACCCAAATGCGGCTATGCCGAAAGCAGTCTCATTTGGGGAGGTAGACATAAAAAAACTGGCCTTGTGCTAAGGTTGGTAAATAGAGAGAGGCCAGTGGGACTATGCAATGGCTGGATAAATACTTGGGTGTCAAAAAAGAGTTGGATAAATAAATTGTATTACTAAAACTTACCAGCTTCCAACCAATGTCCTTGGCTACTATTTATCAAACACATCCTTCCCATTAATGATGTCAACCAATTCAATAAAAAGATATATTTATTTTTAATGTTTTTTTTTATTTGTCTATATTTCTGAGGTGAGGTATTATGTATGTTATTTACATTATTCGGACTATTGTCATCATCTTTGTCGCCATATTTATTACAATGTTTTGGGCCACTGTGGGATCAGGTTGAGATCATAGACAAAGAACATCATTGGAAAATTTGTAAACTTAAGGAATCAGCACATACGCTAGGCCACAAAAATCTCCTGAGCTGACCAGACACAGAAATGAATACAATACAAACAAAAATTGCAATATGAGCTCTGGTAAAAATGGTTGCTGAAGACATTAGGTTTTATATATATATATATACACACACACACACACACACACACACACACACACACATGTCCTCAAAGACACATGGCACAGTGGATAAAGGCGTTGGTTAGATCCAGTAACAGGACCTAAAGAGTGTGAGTTCAATACCCGGTTAAGGCAGTGGAGAACTTTCAGAGGGAAATTAACAGGCAATAACTGACATCCATTAAACATGAACAGTCTACCCCAGTGATTGAAATAAAGGGTTAAGTTTGGCCTTCTTCATGTGGTTGGAATGTCAGAGTGTACAACAGCCGAAACATTGTAATAAATATGGTGACAAAGATGAGGACAATAGTCTGAATAATGTGTTTGTTATTACTTATGAAATTTTTCTCTCATCATCATTATTACTAGTGTACTGTACTGTCAAAAATAACAACAATTGTTAGAAAGTTTTAATAGTGAGGCACAAGGAAGTGAAAGTCTTGAAACAATGTATTGAGATTCAATAAAGCAAAGGTAAAGAATTCACAATGAAAATACAGGTGAATGAACCGTTTAATTAATCAGTTCAGATGTTCAATGGTATCTAAGATTCATTGATTACTCCTGTTATTATATAAATCGCTTTTTGTTCAATATCTTTTTATGTTAAAAATTTGATGTGTTTAATATAACAGTGAAATTGAAATATTTATCGGAAGAAAAAGATTCACAACAGGACAACAAAGATGGTGATAACAAAGCCGATTTCAAGACCAAGTTGAAGCAAGATAAACACTTAATAGACAAATGTATCTGACTGCCTCACATGACAAGTTTGAACAAATAAGGCTGCAATCTAAGAAACATAAAAGGAACTGATTAAGTGGTTCATTTTGTTCAGTAAGTAATTTTGTCTAAATGTAGATAAATATTTTATTTGTATAGATTATTATAGCAATTACTGTAGCAATAATTTCTCACACGTCCTTAGGAGATGAATAGATAGATTCTTTTTTGTTTTAACTGAATTTAATGGCCAGTGTTTTTTCAGGAATTTTGTCTCAAGCCCACTTTTGAATTGTTGAATATAAAATTTTCTAAGTGTTTTTGCATAGCCATAAAAGTAAGGTCCTTCTGAAGACTGACTACCCAAAACTTGTGTGGGTGATTCGTCTTTCCAGTTGGTGGAACACAAGTAGACGAAATTGGGTGATGGATCCCTCAGCTAATATCTATATAATGAATCGGACAGTGAGTAAAAGGAGAAGTCACTGAAATGGCCAGGGAGTGAGTGTGTAGGGGTTCATTTTTCATGGCTGGAACTTAGTGAGATGTCAGTCAGAAAAAAAATTTGCTTTCTTGTAGCAGAAGGAAGACATTGCCAATTACGTGAGAAATCATATTTTTTTTTGCTACTTCCCGACCCAACAAGTGTCTTGAAAAGCATTTGTTGCTGTCCATCTTCAGGTGACGATTGTTTTGACTAATATTGGATGATTGTGTTATTTTGTTCATGTGATACCAGTTATTGTTTGTTGCTACTACACCAGTCCTTCACTACCTGATTCAGGGATTGAATGTTGGTCATATGTCAGCCAAAACAACACCTGATGATGGCTGCAGTGTACTTGGCTGAAACTTGTCTATAATAACATCTAGATGAGAAAAATAGTTTGAATAAAGTAAAGAAGTATATTGGCAGTTACTCATCTGAAATGAAATGCTAAACTGAATTTTATCAAGAATCAAAAGAATTAATCATTATTTATATTTTGTTTTTGTACATATCTGAGTTTGGGATCAAGGATTCCATAAAGGAATTGGATGGTTTAAAAAGAATGAACATCATTGATTAAAAAGATAAAAGCAAGTTGACATTCTGTTTGTCATTTATCTTTCAAATGTCACATTCTTCCTTATCTATTTTTTATTTTCTCTCTTTCATGATGGCACATAATTACATTGTCTTTTCTTACAAAACTTATCGCTATTACTTATGCCATAGCCAATCATTCAGTTGGAATACATTTTGACCCTGCCTGACCTTTGTCTGTCTTTGAAACAATCAAAAATAGGAGAGAGAGAGAGCAGAAGTAGAGCAGATGTTGGTAAATGTGGCACCGAAATCATGTTTCTCTCAAAGCCAAAATATGATAATGTCTGTTGCTTCATAAGGAGACATTTGGCATTCATTGACCAAGCAAAGTCAGTTCTACTTTCAGTTGAAATTAATAAAACCTATTGAAACAACTTTTTTAGGAAAAGAAGTTTATCATGTTCAGTAACTGTTATCACTTCTTTCGATATTGATGGGGGAGGGCTTCCTTCCTAACCTTTTGTTTCTGGGATGTCAATATCTCAATTATGCCATTATTTTCTCTTTAAGTTATTAGTATTAGTAAAATTATTTGTATGAGTAAAATTACCTGTTTTCATACAGGAAAACGTTGGTTTTAATTGAATGAAAAGTTAGTATTATTGTTGGTTGAAATTGTATAAAAGTTCTTTTATTAAAGGTTTTGTTTAAAGAATGAGACTTCTTGTTTCTACTGACAGTGAAAGCTTTTTCTATTATTGTGTAGTGGGTAGGCATCGTCAAATTCAAAATAAGTGACAGAACTGTCCAACAAACAGAATTGACAAAGCTTGCATTAAGAAGAAAATGAAAAGATCAGGGCGAAAAACAATATATTTAAGGCAAATTAAAACTAATAAAGCAAAATGTTTATGATGAGCTCTATGCATCAGATACTGATGATCATAGTAATTTTGAAAGGTTTTAATTATAATGTCTGTTATTGAAAATTGAAATTTGCATACTATTTACATTATTTGGACTATTGTCCTCATCTTTGTTGCCATATTTATTACAACGTTTCGGCTGTTGTACGCTCCGGCCTTCTTCAGGTAGCAAAATGTCGAACTGAACCCTTTATTTCGCTCACTGGGGTAGACTTTTCTATGCTAGGTCACAAAAATCTCCTGAGCCAACCAAGCATAGAAATGAATACAATATGTGAACCAGTAATAAGGAGTGCCAGAGAAAAGCAATAATAACAACAAAAATGAGCTCTGGTAAAGACATGCAATGATAACAGCAAAAAATTGCAATATGAGCACTGATAAAAAACTGATTGCTGAAGACATTAGGTTTATAATACCCAGAAATTCATATACAGATGTCTCCAGGACACATATATATAATGTAATGTTGATGAATTATTTACTGAGTTTTTTAACAATTATTTGTTTTAATTTCAGGAATTGGCCATCTATGAAAAGATGGGTGAGCGGGTAGAAATTACACCAGAAGGTTAGTATTTTTGTGACTATCTTTTATATTCTTTTAGTAGAGATGACATGAAACCAAAAAAATGGATGTTTGGATGATGATAGAAAAAATCTAATATGTTTTTTATCTTTCTTTTTTTTTTTTTTTTTTTTGAATGAAATGAAAAAAAATCACATAAATTATATTGGAACTGTTTTGAGGTTGAGTAGTTGCTTATTTTCTATTGTAGGATTACCGCCTCAAAAAAAGATTTTAGACCTAAATCCACAAAATAAAGAAGGAATTTTTTTTTTCATTTCATACCATGGAAAAACAAAAATATCTGCTAAGACTCCTAAGACTCAAAAGGATACTGATAGTAAAATAAATTGAAAAAAAATGTTATTGTGTAGAAAGGACAATAAAAAAACAGGATTCAAAAAGACAGAAAATGACAGTGTTACATTTCAGTTTTTAACAATCATCTTTGACAGGAAAACATGAAGCCAGAAGAGAGTTCCACAGGCGAGAAGTGTGAGAGAAGAAATTATCAGCATAGAACTTAGTTACAACAAGCAATTTCAGCAGCAAAATTGTTGTGATGTCTTTTTTCAAAATAGTTGAGAATTAGGAAGGTCATAGTTAGAGTATCAGAAGAACGGAAGACTCTGAAAAGGGAACAGTTTAATTAAATATTCATACACAGAACAGAAATACTTGAGTAAATCAACTACTCCTCAAATCCTACTCTAATGTGGCTACTTGCCATATTTATAAATAGGAGCAGTCCATTGTCAATGTGTAGTGTATTGGTAAATAGGATTGTACCTATTTGCATATGTTAAGTAGAAGAGAAATAAAGTGTATAGTAAAGAAAGAGACAGGCAGAAGATGACTACTGATCACGTGTCGTAGAACAAGACAATGCAACAATATGGCGTCATTGATAGGATGTTTAAGTCACTTGGATGAACCAGAATTTGTTTAGACTTGGATCTGGTGTTTTGCAGCCCAGGTTAGGGCTTAAGAATTGAAAGACAACCAGGCAAGAGAAGAAAATGAAATAACTGACCTCTTTCTAGTTTTGGCAGGTTGTAAAGTTATAATGAAAATTTCTGTTATGGCATACCCTGAACAACTGGAGAGATTGACTTTTGTTGAAATTTCAGAAATTATAAAAAGTTTATGACCTAAAAAGAAACTTGTCATAGCAGAAAGAACCAAATTTCTGTCCATTAAACAATATTTCACAGATTAAGAGAAGCTCGCAGATTCTGCAAATTTTCAGAAACTTGCAACTCAAGATTTGCCTATCATTGATGAATTTATTCAACTGTAACTGGTTGAAAGTATGGCTGGTATAGATATAATATAGTGGAACCATTACAATTGAATAATTTGACTCTAACTGCACGTGTGGAAGTTATACGTCAACTGGAATTTATTAAAAAAGTATAATTCTACTGAGAACATTGTTGACACATGCAGCATAAAAAAAGAACTCAAGAAATGCACATACTGTAACTATGAAGTTGACAGAAAAATATGCCCCGTTTTTGGAAAAAATTTCCATTACTGCCAAAGAAAAAATCATTTTCAGTCTGAATGCAAAAAAAAAGTGGGGAAAGAGAGAATCGATGATGATTTTTTTTTTTTTTCAATACAAAGACCTAAGGAAAAGAAATCTTTAAAAATGAAATTAAATGGCATGACTTTTCAAATACAAGTGAATATGGGTAATGAAATCACTCTGATCCCAAGAAATTTCTGTGAAGAAATAGGTAAACCAAAATTGAGGAAAATTATCTGAAAGTGAGACAATTTGATAGATCTTTTATAAAAAAAAAACTCAAAGAACTTTGGGATATTTCAATGGAACTTTTGAAGCTGTGAGTGATTTGAAATTATTCCCATTACAATAGTGGAATGTAAAGAAATTCATGAACTACTAGCTATAGATGTTCTAAAAGTGGATACAACTTTGGATACATGTTTTACTTTTTAAAACTATGTTAATATTTACATTGGTAAGATTTTCCTTGGTGCCACAAAATTTTATTATAGCCAATAAAATAGACATTTTACAACAAGGAGCAAGGAGAATAAAAGAAAATATTTTTTATAGTTACCATAGGTGTTAAATTGAAAAAAAAAGCTTACTTGTTTTTGTACCTCAGTGTTTGATCAAAAGCTAAAAGGTTTGTGCATAGCAGCTAAAATAGGGTGAAGAATAATAAATGAAGAATATAAACATATATTAATAATATATATAATATATATATATATATATATATATATATATATATATATATATATATATATCACAGACAAGTTACATTCATACCTAAAAGCTACTCCTTCTGTATATAGAGAGGGGGCTGTGAAAACTTAATATATTCTGCCTCCAATACTTTTAAGTAAAAATCATAATGTACAAAACTCAATTAAGAATATGTCTTTATCATAGAACACAACACACTAATGATGATTTATTGACTATTGCTGACCAGGATGTATTGATCCCCTATGAAAATTGCTGAATTGCTCTTTATGAATACTAGCAGGCACATATTGACTTATTCTTGTTTTCAACCTTGTTCTACCGATATAGTCGGCATCATATTGACATTTGAAATGGCAAATAGTTGAACTTGTACAACAAACCCTGTTAAAAATTGTAGGAAAAACTTCAATAGATTTAAGTAGTATCATTAAAATCTCAATTCTGTGCAAAAGTAGGATTGCATGAACTTCAAAATCAAATTTGCACATTAGCGAATCAGTGACTTTGTCTCATATGCCAGTCAAGCTTTTCAAAAAGCAGAAAACCATTCTTGTCATTTGCAAGAAAAATTGAAGGCTCACAGCCAGAAAATGATTAAGTTTTTTCTATCGTAAAAATCAAAATTAAAAGTTGGAAAATTTATTTATTAATCAGTAAAACTTTTGAGCTTAGTAAATCTAACTTTTAACTTCCTGTGATCTGATTTTTTTTCTAATAAATAGCAGAACAAATATTAATTATTAAATTAATAGTCATTAGTTTTCAGTCTAATTTGACCAGGAAATGTAAATAAAACTGAATATTCAAATTAACTTACTGAGTATCAAGTTTCTTCTTGCAAGTTATTTCTTGTTTGTAAAGTATTTTCATAAACCAGTTTGCAAAGTACACAGTGAAAAGGTTTTTGGTAAATTATATAACTGGATCATAGAGGACAAAACTTGAGCAATTGTTATTGTCACCTACAAATGGCATTACTTAGGTTTGCCTATTGTCTGGTTCACATACACCTTCTTCCTGGTCTTTCAAACAGGAGTAGAGGTTTATCTCTTGTTTTCTGTTTAGGATTGGATTTCCAATTCCTTCTAGAGTCTTTTCATTCTTCTTCATTCCCAGTATACTTCCTTGTGGGATTATCGCTTTACTTGAGGCGAACTGATTAAAAAAAAATGTTTTTTTAACACATTGTCAATACACAGTGGGGATAGATATTTTTGAAATTGTTATTTTTATGTCCTAACCTGATCCTTTCCAACACTAATATAACTCCACACAGTAACTGTCTATTTTGAGTGACTCAGGCCCTGTGTTGTGTGAATATTAGTAAAAAAAAATTATTTGCATAAATGTTCTGTAGGCTGAGTGATAATCAAAACTTTATTACAGTGAAGAGATTTAACAACATGAGGAGTGTTTAGGTGAAGCAACAGGAGGGACATGATTAAACATGGTCTTAAGTGTTCTCATCTTATCTGAAGATAAAGGTGAGAGTTTGGATAATTAGCCAGAAATACTTCACAATAAATAGCTTTTGTTTTTTATTTAACATCTATGCTAACTATGAAAAATTTTTAATTTTATTTTCTCTGCTGTATATTTTAAAATGTAGTGACTATAAAATTCTGTAGGTATAACAAATAATACCTCAAGGAGTTGGAGAGCTCTACCTTGCATATTGAGATGTCAGCTAAATTCATTTTTTTTTTTTAATTATTTCAATCGTATTATTCATATTTTTCTGGTTAATCTGAATAACATTGGAAAAAAAAACAAAATAATTCATCTGACTACTCAGTAGCTCTCTACCCCTTGACATACAGGTAAACAGAACTCGTAAATTTTTGTTGGCAGTCTGTATGTCTACGTCAGTTGTTCCCAAACTGTTTTTCCCTGGGCCACATTTTCGGAATAAAAATTTGCTTGTACCTCACCAAATTTTATGTAATAAAAAGTAAATTTAAAAATAAAAAACAGATAAGGTTAAAGGGATATAACTGCGGATTCAAAGTCAGAACATTATCATTGATAACTCTCTCCTCCAATTTGCAGATCCTAGTTACTATATTCTTAACACTTGATTTAATATAAACATATCACAATGATAAAATCAATCAATAATTATTTATAACTATTTATCCTGGGACTCATGCATGCAGTTACAGGTAATTCATAATGATATTTTAAAGTTTTGAAATCATATTTATTTTTGGTATATGTAGTTTTTGAAACTATTTCCAAATCTTTGATTGTCTTTCAATCATTCTACCTAACCTGCTTACCCTCTTCCAACACACTTATGAAGTGTATACTGCACTGTTTGGGAATCAGTCTGATTTTCACAACTGGGGTAGATGGTACTCCTTATTCTTGCTGATGACAACCTTTCAAGTGACCAATGGCTTCATCCTTGTGATGAGGGTGAATGAGCTGTGGCACTGTAGCCAGTTTCTGAGTAATGGTCAGAAGAGGATTCAAAAACCATTTGCACCTCTAACCCCCAAACAATGTGAACAATGGGCATAAGAATGTGCAGGTGGTTTAATCGATAGCAGCTCAGAATGAGAAATCAGAAAAACTGAGTTCAAATTCCAGTTGGGACAGTTATATTCACTTATGTGCAGATACTCTTGGTAAAGGTATGAATCCATCACTTCTCTCCCCAGCTATGGGTTAAATAAATGAGTAGTTTCGGCTCTCTAGCTATGGTTAGCAACCAGTCTAGTATGTGGCCAACTGAATTCCCACACAATAGTAATTGTTCACAACTGCTAACCATTCACAATAAGGTTATGGGGAACAAGCAAAAAATAAGCCTGTAAAATGCAGTTACGAAATTGCTATCAATTTATGTGTAAGCCAAAAATAATTTATAACAGATAAATTATGAAATTTTATTTTTTAAATTTAAAATAATAATCATTATAATCAGTTCCTTAACTGTGTCAATCATCAGGTGGCCCTGGGGGCAGAATAAAAAGACACCCTCCTCTATGTTGATCTGTTAGCAGTGGTTTTCAGGAGTTTCGGCATTGGCATGTCTATCCACTCATTGATGTTGTCTGACCTGCTCTTGTAATGCCGTCCCTGTCTGCGTCCACCTTGAACAGTGCCTTGCATGATGGGGTCTTGCAGAGGCTGTCATGCTGTGTGACATGGCCAAACTATGCTATCTTTCAATGCTTAATAGCAAGGAGACATTCCTGTTAGCCCATGAGACTTTTGACCTTGCTTTGTACATAGTTGTTGGTTAAAATAATAGATAATATTATTTTCCCTATGTGGAGTGAGTAGCCATGGTCAGATGCAAAAATAAATAAGAGAACTGTCCAAGAAACAAAACTGACAAAGAAAAAAAGTAAATAGAAAAGAATAGGGTAAAAAATAATATAAAACAAGCAAACAATATATGCAAGGCAAATTAACAGTCATAAGGCAAAGCAACAGTAATATGGCAAAAAGTTCATAAATTAAGAATTGGGGTTGATACACAAGAGCAAGTGTGGACAAGTGAATATACCATTCTGGCTTCAAGACAAGACATATTGGGACTAAGTCAGATGAAACCAAGAATCGGTCTATTTTATTGGTCAAGAAAACTTCCAGCATGTATTTGTGTGCTTCTACCTATAAATTGGGGAGGGGCAAATGTTTTGCAGTCATTCCTATAGGGATTGAAACCAAGAGCCTATATCATCAGGAAAGCCCAATATATGGAGATGAGCAATTCACACATCTCTGTCTAGTGGACTCTTCCAGTGATTTACATTATTATTTATATGTGGACTATTGTTAGTGGAAATAGGGTTAGCAAAAATGGAATCATACTAAAATAAGAACTAAACGAAATATCCCTAGACATAGGTGTTAGAACAAGAACAGTCTACTATTGTAGATTAAATAAAGGGTTCAGTTAGGAATTTCCTATAGGTTACCCAGATCAACATACATCTGATGAAGGTTGAAGGGTACAATGACCAAAATGTTGTGATAACAACAACAAAGATCAGGACAATAGTCTGCAAGTAAATAGTGTAAATACATCACAAAAGTGTTCTGCACTCAATTTATATACAATTTTCTTATAAGAACAAGGAAAATGGTCCAGACAAAAAAGTTAAACCAAACAAAAAAAATATTAAACTAAGAACATGTGTTAGTTCGCAACTAAAACTGCATAAATGTAAAATTGCTGCTGAAATACATCTCCAAAAGTATTACATATATACAAAAAAGTGTTATGTATATATTTTTTCTAAGTATGCTGATTATTATTATTTTATTTATTTATTTATTTTTTATACAGTATTAAAGCAACATGGATTTGGTGATCACAAATATTTTCACGTTTTGGTTGCGGAAATTTCAGAGTCTGAAGATCTTGCTACAGGTAAGTGTTCTTCACAAGATTTGGTACTTGAACCTATTATCCTTCTGTAAAAGTTCAAACCTTTTGAACATTCATTGAGCCAGTCCTACTGTATGGATCAAGAACTTGGACATTATCTGCTCATCTTGAAAAATGACTGGATGGAACATATACAAATCAGCTTTGAAAAATCCAGTTGGAGATCCCATGCAATGCTTAACACAATTTACAGAGAACTGAGACCAATCTCCCTTAAGCTCAAACAAAAATGATTACAGTTTGCTGGGAACTGCCACCAAGCAGATCGGGAAATCGTCCCATCCTTCCTTCTATGGCATCCTTCATTCACAAAAATTGACTTTCCCAGACACAATAGCTTGGTACTCAGGGTTGGACATTGGGGATCTGGGGACAGCAATGCAGGACCGAAAAGTGTGGAAAGGGATTGTCAATGGAGTTCTGACAAGCTATAGGGAGGACGAAGGATGATGATGAAGTGTTCCTCTGCTGAAGAAGGCCATTTTGGTTACTATCAAGAAATCTGCTTCCTTTTACATGATTAAGAATATTGGGCAAGAACTCAAAATTAGATGAACTCTGAGCTAAGTAGCAATAGGGAGGTTCATGTCTGAGGTCATAATTCCAAGGGTCAAAAATTAGTCCAATGTCAGAAAATACTGACGCTGCAAAATCAATGGTCAAAAATTTCCATTACATCTTGCAATGTACAACTATCTCTTCACTGACGAAAAACCCAAAAAAAAAAATCATGTGGTCTATAGTAGTTTTTTATTGAGAGTAAAAACAGTTGTGATTGGTCAAGGCTGATAGGGAAGTGCAAACAATTACCATATTTCAAGGTCTACTAAAATCACTTTGGTCTTTATTCAGATTTTCTTTTTCGATAAATACCACAAAGCACATAAATTCTTTTCTGAGATAAGACTTGGTTATTTTCCTTCATTGCCAGATGATAAAGATCATCATGGGCAAACTGTGGCCTGTTTGGCTTTTTGAATGGCAAACTTAATTTCACAAGAAAAATATTGTTTCTTAAAATTTTTTCATTGTCAATTCTCACATTCTCTTAGATGTAACAATGAATAAGTACAATATTTCTTGAATTTTGTGAGCTTTCGTTGAAAGTAAAAGTTTCAACATTTTAAACCATTGGTGATTTTTCATGATGGTGGGGATCTTGTGTAGACATTTTTTGCTTTGAAAACAAAAATCATTCATAATTTTATTCTGGAGAAGAAATATAGTTTTTATTTTCAAAAATTATTTTTTGTATTTTCAAATCAATAAAGTAGACACTGATCACAAAGTTATCAGTGATAATATTTTATGAAGACTTCAATTTTTTAATTATGGAAAAATCTTTTCTCCAAAGAAAAGAAATGAACTTTTCGTTATTTCTAAGCTAGATGCTTATGGTCTTCCGTAGTGAAAATGACTGAGGCACCTTCATTGATGTGGTGTGTAACGCAACAATTCAACTGATGATGGCAGGTAGGCACAAAGAAAACCAGTGTCGCACGTCCAACCTTCTCACGAGCTGAAAGCCCTCTGATCTGCAACAGCAAAAACGAGCCTGCTTTATACAGCCGCAGACCGACCACGATTTGCATGCGAATGACGAGACAACAAGATTTCGCGTTAACTAACCGAGACCGCCCGGCATAAAATGTGGGCGCCGACATTTTGGTTTTCTTTTACCGTTGGAAGGACCAGAGTTTGCATACTGCGCAGATTTGAACGCGTTTCCTAGGTAAGCCATTTTTACAATTTTCCCCACACTCCCCCCTGATCTCAAGATCACAAACAGGGCAGGGAGGTGGTGATCGTCGCCGTCGAGTCCCCCTCCGAAGGGGGATAACACAAGCTTCATCCTCATGCGTGTTCTCGTCTGTGGTTTGAGTGTCGGTAAACACTGTGTCCGCCGGGAGGCTGCTGTTATCAGAATCACTGCCCTGCAGGTCTAACTCAAGGCAGATTGAACGCTCACTACTCCCAGACCGGAATCGCTCGCCGGTAGCGGTAGTGATTGCATCACCGGTCGCAAGTCTTTAATGTGACGAGGCACCCCATCAACTCTCACAGATTGCGGGCTGATCACCTCCGTAACACATCCAGTGCCGTACTTTGTCGTGACACTTGCTGCGTGGGTTTTTGACCCAAACAACGTCTCCTTTTTTCAATCTCCTCCAGTCACTTCTAGTTCAGGCAGCGGGTTGGCTTCGATGCCTTTCACGCGACATGATATTTGTGCAGTGCATCAGCCGGGCGCCGTGGATGGTGAAATGTTATCTTTCGGGCAACATTATACCAGTAAACCGCTTCGATACTGTACAGCCCTTCCTGGCTGCGATGGTCTTGATGGTTCTGTGGTTCTGCTCCACGATGCCGTTTCCACTTGGCGAGTAGGCACATCGAAACCGCAGATGCACGTCCCCAAGTGTCCGCAAATTCTTTAAAAACTTTACTGGTGAACGCAGTATCGTTATCCGTCAGTATTTCCACGGGTGGGCCTCGCTCCAGGAAAACATTCTCCAACAGTCGAATGACGGTGCTCGTGTCTTGTCTGCAGCGGCCGCCATACCGCAAACCTGGAGGGACCGCAATCAATGAGTGTTAAAAATTCTCACCATTGTAGTGAGTTATGTCCATTCCCAGTCTGCTCCAGTTGCTCTTCACGCTCAGTTCTCCTCTTTCCCAGTGAGCGGGTGACGGATCGATCGACTGACAGGTTGTGCAGGCCTTCACAACGGATTTAACGCTTTCTCTGGACACCTGCGGGTTGACTAACCTGGCGGAAGTACAGAGTTAGTTTCACGCCCAGATGTCCGCATTGACAATGCGTATTGGCAACCTGGTCCTCATCCAGTCGTCTCCCTGCCACTGCACAGCTCTCGAGTGCGGTTCTCCTCTAGATTTGAGCAGTTCTAGCCATCTATGCGGTACTCTGGTGAGGCGATCCGCCACGGTTCTGACAGGACTGCACGAGTGTCACGTCCCACGGTCAATCCATATTCCTCCACCAGCGATCGCGTAAAATGCCCAGCCGCTGCCTGACCAGCATCTCACCAGCCGCCATTTTTGTGTTCACCCGTGCCTTCCCGGTCAAGGTGTCTGAAATCCACCGTGCACACGCCGAATCAGTAACCAGTGCAACGTTGTCGCCTCCCCACTGGAGAACTAGATTCACTCCCTTTAAGCGCCGATCGAGTTCAGCCAAATTAATATGCCTGGCATCATTAGTCGGACGCAGCCAGCACGCATCTTCGGCGACATTTCCGTTTACTTCCAATGCCACTCCTGTCGCCACGGAACTCGTGATCCACCCAGACTGTGATCTCGTCACCACTCTTTTGCACCAGTCTCCTCCGACGGGATCCAGTTCCCGCACTCTAGTTAACATCTCTGCTAGTATGCGACAGAGAGAGGGATCTTTGATGTTATCATCCCATCCATTGGTTGCTGCGGTTGCCAGGCGCTTGACGAATGCAACTGCCACCCTGTGCCATCCACACACTGGGAAGTGTCCAACAAGTTTCCCACACAATGAAAATACGCACCGCCGGGTCAACACATCAGGGGCTTCCGGAATTTGATTTCCTCGTTTCCATCGGAGGGTGCCATTTTCTTCCCAGATCTGCAAGCCAAGAACTCTTGCTCCATCTCTCAGTTGCACCGGATCCTTGCACACCAAACCGTAATCCGAAAAGTGTTGTCTTACACGCGATGCAGAGGCCAAACTTTCATTAATGAAGATATCATCAACGTATGCTGATGTGGCACTTTCAATTGTGCGGTCTTGCGATGGCGTCTATAACTGATTTCATGATGAGTGGCGCTACATTTAGCCCAAATCCTAGCTGCGTAAGACAGAAGCGTTGGCCTTTGAAAATAACCGTTTGAAATGGCCACAGCGCTTCGTCGATGTGAATCTGAAGATATCGTTCGCAGATCCAGAAGCGACACATTGACTCCCTGCCGCCGCCACGTTCCAACTTATATGCGCACATTACTTCTGCATCGGCAGTGAAAGCATCCACAAAGTTGTTCAATTCGCGGTAATCGAGTACCGGACGCACCTTCTGTTTCTGCTCCTGCACGACTGCCATCAAGGGAATCAGACCCTTTGGGGGCCCCAGTCTTTCCTGGGGGTAACGGAATCAGCCAGCCGTTCACAATCCACTGCTGAAGCTCTTTTCGTATTTTCCTCTGATGTTGTCGGGAACTTTGTACTCTGCGACCTTGTTGCGCGGCTGAACTGGCGGGTCTTTTTGGGCCCATTTCCACCTGCCGGTCCACACCCTCTCGTCGGAATTGAAGGAGACGTCGAAATCCGGCTCACTAATGCAAAGGGCTGCACACACCTTTCTTCTTTCACCCAGTTCCACATTTCCAGCTGGCGTGATCATCATGCCTCCTAACGCTCGGATCGCATCAATCCCAAGTAGCAGGTCGTACCCGAGGGGGCCTTTGACGTGCCACCAAGACGTCGACTTTGGCATGACTCCCTCTGTCTGTTAGGACTGACACAGTCCCGACACCACAACAGGCCCGGGACACCGTGTCAATCGTCCGAATCTCGATTTGTTGACTGTTCCATGTCACGCATTGATCCGCACTAACGATCGATCGGGAACATCCAGTGTCAACGAGCGCCGAACATCGTTTACCCTCAACGTACACGTTGACAACAGGCAATGCCGCATTTACTGACCGAGAGGGGGCAAGGGTTGCGACAGCACCTTGTCCCCGGACTCGCTTTCGAGCAATCCTGTGCTACATGGCCTAACTCTTTGCTGCAATAGCAGCGTAGTCGTGCTTGGTTCCGTCTGCTCCCTCCTACATCACTTCGGCCCGCAGTCCCTAGAGAAATGGTTGGGTCCACCGCACTTGTAGCACTTTGGGCCCTCCCCGGGGTGTCTCAGGCGTTCGCACGGCTGCCGCGTGACCTGTTCCGTGGTCCTTTAAGATGTTTGGGCCCTGGCTAGCAATTCGTCAATTCC